GCCTGGCGGGTAGCATTTGCCTCGTGCTTACAGCTCCGGGGACGGTAGGATTGTTGAGCGACTGTAATGACTGACTTGAGCAGGGGTCTCCCACCTGCCTGAGGGCCCCGGGAGCACAGGAAATGGGTCTTGTCCCCTGTATCCCCAGGGCCTGCACTTAGTCAGAGATCAGTGAGTCTGACTAATGGGGAGGGTGCAGTGGAGGTCATGTGAGATGAAGTACCGATAAAGCTGTTCTCCCCAGAGAGGCTGAGGACCTCGTCCCCGTTAGGAAGGCTGGACTAAACTGAGGTCAAGGTGCCCAGACGGGCAGCTGTAGCCCTGTTGGGGGAGTTCAGCGTGGAGAGGCCTAGCAGTGGAGCAGCCGACATGAGCTCTGCAGTGAGGGCCTGGGCTGGAAGTCGCGCCTCTGCTGCCGAGCAGTGTGGCCTTGCCTGGTTACTTGCCCTTTCTGAGCCTTTGTGTCCTCATCTGTACGGGGGATCGAGTGCTTGGCAGAGAACCTTTTCTATTAACGCAGGTTACAATTCCTTTTGCGGCTCCCATTAGTGAGTATCATCATGTCCTCTTGTTTATGAACTTTGCTTGTTACCTCTTTCTAGAAAAAGCCCCAGAAGCTCAAGCACAAAGAGGCTGACAGTGAGGAGCTGGAGGTGCCCCCTCAGTACCAAGGTGAGGCTTCCTCTCTCCTCTCTTGCAGCAGGTTCCCTGTCACCTGCACTAGGCAGGGTGTGTTGCAGGCAGGGCCAAGAGGTTGCATGGCCTGGTTGTACTCAGTTGGCACCAGCAAAGATTGGCTGATATGTCCCATAAGACTGGGCTGGGGACCAAGGGGGTCTGTGGGTGAGGGAGAGCCTGGGGGTTAGGAGATCTGTGCACAGAACCCCCAGCCCTTCTGGGGAGCCCCTGAGCCCCATCTCTTCCCCACCCACCCAGGCTTTCCTGAGACTTTTGCAGCCCACCCTTCTCCTGGGAGATGTCTGCCTCTCTTTTCTGACTTTGAGTCAGGCCAGATTTGACCTATGTTGAGGGTGGCAGTTAGGAGGGCTGCCCAGGGAGTTCCCCTGTACAGTTGTTTCTGGGCTCCCAGGCTGTTCCTTTCCCCAGAGTAGCTGCTAGAGGTACCAAGGTGGCTGCCCAAAGCCAGGAGAAGCCTCTGTTGCCTCACCTTTGCCTCCTTTCCCCCAAGGCAGCCCCCGCAGGGCCCCTGCCCCCAGGCCCTCGAAGCAGAGCTCTTGCTCTGCATCTGGAGGTCCAGGGGCTCCTGCGGGAGGTCCCTGATGCCAGTAGCAGGTATGCTGTCAGAGCCCCACAGCATCCTCACCCAGCTGGAGTGCCACAGGGCTCCTTCTCGTTCTGTGGCCCCCCAGGCCAGGGCCCAGCTCACCTCCTCTGCTCTGAGATGGTGTGGTGCAGAAGCAGTAGTACCACACAATGCAGCAGGAGGCCTGGGTTCAGGACTGCTTGGCCAGCTGCTCTTAGCTGTGTGACCTTGGCCTGTTCACGCTGCCTCTCTGACCTTCTAGTTTCTTACCTTTAAAGGAGATTCATCTGGGTCATCTAAGAGAGTCCTCCCTAGTCGGCACTATGTGATTCCATCCATGACTGTGTGGAAGTCCGGGCTGGAAATAACACTGGCCTTGGAAGCACTTCGATCTCTCGAAGCCGCAGTTTTCACGTCTGTACGATGGGATAAGAGCTGCCTTTCTAACTCACAGTTCTGGTGTGAAGCCTGAATGAGATCAAGCCTTAGTGCCTTGTTTTACAGATGAGCTTAAGAGGCTCCAGAAAGTTAAGAGCCTTGCCTACGGTTAGAGCTGGGAGTTGAACCCCGGTCTGTCTGGCTTCAAAGCCTATGTTCTTTTCCCCAGAACAAATGGAGCAGATTTAGTTTGGAGAGGGTGAGGTATTTTATGTTAGTCGAGGATATATGTGTTTCCAGAGGTCACTGGTAGGTCTCTGGATTCAGGTCAGTCTGAGGAGCTCAGTGGTCTAATTGTCAAGTTGCTGGACAGTCCCTTCTCGAGGAAGGTCTTTGTCCTTTGTTGGTAGGGGACATCCATTCGGTCCTGGCTGTGACTCATCTCCCCAGCAGCTCTCCGGGGAGAAGGCTGCCCGATTGCCCTGGCCTTGCCTGACTCATGGCCTCTGTGTTCCCCCTCTAGCGGGAGGCTCTGGCATCCATCGCCCTGTGGCCAAGAAGGCTACCCCCGGGGCCGAATACAAGGCCAAGGTAAGAGCTGCCGGTGGGGCAAGGACTCTCCTGGCAGAGTCTCTGGGGAAGTGCGGGGCAGCTGTGACCATCACTGCCCTGGGGAGGCACCTTTGTGGAGCCAGCCTGAGGCCACACTGAGGGGTACACAAAGGTTTTGTTAGCACCTGAAGTCCAGGCCTTGTTGGATGGCTGTCCAGGGCTGCAGAAGCTCTTTGGCACCACCTGAGGCAGAGAATGAAGGGAAGGGAGGATTCAGCCTGTCAGGTCAGGGGCAAGGGTGGAAAGAGAAGCCCACCCTCCTGGCTGACTCTGTTTCTCTGGGTGAGCAGAAAGCAAAGGGTGACATGAAGAAGAAAGGTCGGCTCGACCCCTACGCCTACATCCCCCTCAGTAAAACCAAGCTCAACCGCAGGTACGGCGTGTGCAGGGTCGGGGGTGAGGGCTGTGCTCGTTACACTCTCCACTCGATTGCTCAAGTCTCTTCCAGTTTTTTGTTAATTAAGTTTATTTATTTATTTTTGGCTGCATTGGGTCTTTTGTTGCTGTGCATGGGCTTTCTCTAGTTGTGGTGAGCGGGGGCTACTTTTCATTGCAGTGCGCGGGCTTCTCTTGTTGCGGAGCATGGGCTCTAGGCGCATGGGCTCTAGAGCGTAGGCTCAGTAGTTGTGGCGCACGGGCTTAGTTGCTCTGCAGCATGTGGGATCTTCCCGGTCCAGGGCTCGAACCCGTGTCCCCTGCATTGGCAGGCGGATTCTAACCACTGCGCCACCAGGGGTCCCGGTTTTTTATTCTTACTTTTTCGCATGCACCTTCAAGTATCCTTGACTTGAACTGCCCTTTTAAACATGATGGGTGTGGTCTGCACGGATCACGTGCCACCCGCCACCTGGCAGCGCCCCTTCTCCCCTGTTCCTGCTGGTGCTGGGGTGGGGACACCACCCTTTGATGTTATGGGAAGGGGGGCTGCCTTTTCTCAACGAGACATGACCCTTCTGATCCTTGTCCCTGCAGGAAGAAGGTGAAGCTGCAGGGACAGTTCAAAGGCCTGGTGAGAGCTGCCCAGCGGGGCTCCCAGGTGGGACACAAGCTCCGCAGAAAGGATCAACGGTCCTGAGCCCTGGGACCCCCTGGGCTGCTCTGTGGTCCAGCCTGAGGCCCCTTTTTAGCCCTCAAGCTGCCATGACGCCAGGTCCAGATGCAGCAGTCAGTGGGAGAGCCTGGACTCAGAATGACTTGTTGGAACCAGGACTGGTTCCCGGAGGTGCCCTGGATTTTGGAAGCTCCAAATGGGAGTCACCCTTTAGAGATGTCCCTGGGGCCTGGAGATGGGAATGTGGCCTCAGTGCCTCTAGGTAGGCTAGCGAGAAGGCTGTGCTTTCCGTCCAGAGTGTTTGCAACAGAAGAGATGGTCTTCCTTTCCTCTGGCTGCCTGTCGCCATGTGGCACTCTGCCTGGCTGCAGTCTGGCTTTGTGAGATTTGCTATGATCAGACGTAGAATAAAGATGCAACACTATGTGTTGTAACTAGAAACACTGTGTTTTATCACCTGCCCCCGGCCCCCC